TTGTTTGTTTGTTTGTTCTGTTTTTTTGATAGGGTCTCCCTAGCCCAGTCTGCCTGGAACTCACTATGTAGATCAGGCTGGCCTCGATCTCATAGAGATCTACCTGTCTCTGCCTCAAGCACTAGAATTAAAAATGTGTGCCTTGTGTGCTTTGACCTCTCTATGAGGTCAAGGCCAGCCTGGTCTACATAGAGAGTTTCAGGCCAGCAGGGACTATATTGTGAGACCTTGTCTCAAAAGGTGCTGTTGGTTACAGTGACCATCTGGGTCTCTCCCTCTCTCCCTCTTCCTCCTCTTCTTCTCCTCCTCCTCCTCCTCCTCTTCTTCCTCCTTCTCCTGCTTTTCCTTCTTCATCTTCTGCTTCCTCTCTCTCCCCCTCAAAATTATGTGTTGAGCACTGATGATTCCACCTGCCTTTCCAATGTGAGTCTTCCTAATACAGGAAAATGAAATAAAATCTCTTTAAAAGTTAACAAAAATCAGTACATGAAAACAAATACTGCATGCAGACCAAAAATAACTGACTACGACATATTAAAATAAAAAGATGCTACATCAATAGCATATGCCATTGGGGAGTTACAAATTAAAACAAGGTGATACCACTATACATATATTATAAATAATAGCTGAAATCCAAAACACTGACAATACCGACAAGGATGAAGAGCAACAGGAACTCTCAGGCATTGCTGGTGGGAATACAGAATGCTACAGCCATTTTGAAAGATTGCTTGAAAGTTTCTCAGAAAATTAAACATACTGTCACCATACTGTCAAACTATAGGGTCCTTGATATGTACTAAGACCAGTTAAAAATATATCCATACAGAAAACTACACACAGATGCCTATAACAGCTTTATCCACAACTGCCAATATTTAAAACAACCAAGATTTCCTTCAGCATGCACATGTAAAACTAAGCTGGTACAACCAGACAATGGACTGTTATTCAGTGCTAACAAGAAATGAGCCCTATGAAAAGAATCTTAAATGCGTATTACTAAGTGGAAGAAGTCAATCTGAAAAGGCTACAAACTGTACAATCCGAAATATATAATGTTCTGGAAAATGTGAAACTATGGAGACAGTGAAAAGACTGGTGGTTGCCAGGGGTTAGTGAGAGGGAAGTATGAATCGGTAGAGCAGAGGATTTTTAGGACCGTGCAATTATTCTGTGTAACACTACAATGGTGGGTACATTTCATATATTTGTCCAAGTCCATAGAACATACAACACCAAAAGTGAACCCAGATGTAAATTATGACCTTTGAACAATAACGATTTGTCAATGTAGATTCATCAAAATTAATATATTACTTTGGTGCCAGGTATTGATAATGGGATAGGCTGTGTATGTGTGCAGATAGGAGGCTTACAGGAACTAATCTCAATGCTCCTGTTAACCTAAAACTGTTCGGAAAAGTAGTCTATTAAAAAATACAAGCTGAGCTGGGTGTGGTGGCACATGTCTTTAATCCTAGCACTTAGGGAGGCAGGGGCAAGTGGATCGCTGTGATTTCAAGGCCAGCCTGGTCTTGATAGGGAGTTCCAGGCCAGCTGGGGCTACAGGGAGACCTTGTCTCAACCAAAAAAAAATGCAAGCTGGGCTGGGAATGTAGCTAAGTGACAAGAGTGCCTGCCTAGCATGTGTGAGGCCCTAGGTTCAATGCCCAGTACAGAAAAAACAAAAAGTTTCTGTTTAGCCATGAATCATGGGACATACCTGTGATCTTAGCACTTGGGAGGAGGAAGCAAGAGGATCAGGAATTCAAGGCCAGTCTGTACTATATGAGACCCTGCCAAAACAAAACAAAACAAAACAAAAATACAAGCTGGGCATGGAGGCTCATGCTTGTAATTCCTGCACTTGGGAGGCTGAGGGAGGAGAATAATTTTGAGTTCCAGGACAGCCTGACCTACAGAATAAGACTCTGTCACAAAAAATAAATATATATATATATAACAAAACAAAACAATGGTGCATTATATGCGCTGAAATCACTGCTCAGTGGCAAAACCCTTACCTAGCATAGGTGAGGCCTGGGGTTCAATAACTAGCACCAACACACACACACACACACACACACACACACACTCACTTACATGTATATATGTTGTGTTAGTCAGCTTCCTGTCAGGAAACTTGAAATGATTAACTTATAGAGAGAACATGTTTGTTTTGGCCCAGTTTTGGAGGCTCTAATCCATAGTCTATTGATCCCACTGCTCTGGATCTGAGGGTGAGGTACAAGATGGCAATGGCAGGGAGCACTTGGCAGAGCAAACTGCTCAGCCCATAACCAGGAAACAAAAGAGAAAGGAGAGGGACTGATCCCACAATCCCATTCAAAGCCACCCCCAATGATTTAAGCACTGTCTACTATCCCCCACCTCAAGGGTCCACTACCTCACAACAGTGTCACCTTGAGAATCAAGCCCTAATACATGGGCTTTTGGGAGACGCTTAGCAAAACCATAGCAAATGTTGAAATTTTGTATATAGATTTTATGTACATAATTTGTATGTGTATAAGTATATAAATATCATAGATATATTATTTTATACATACAATCTATTACAAGTATATATAAATATTTATATATTGACTAAAGAAAAACTACAATAACTTTGTAGGCTCACTTCCATAACCAAACAATAGATGTACTGGTTTATTTTTGCCCCAAAAAGAAGATAAAATTATGTGTTTTTATAAAATATTTTCTCCCAGTAACAGACAGTACGATTCTCACTCTTCTTAATAGATCATGGTAATCATTTTTAGACAAGGTCTCATGTAGCCCAGGCTGCCCTTAACTATGTAGCTAAAGATAACCTTGAACTTCTGATCCTTCTGCCTCCACCTCCTGAGTGCTGAGATTACAGGTATGTGCCACCATGCCTGATTTTATGTGGTGCTGGGGATCGAACCCAGGGCTTTATGAATGCTAGGCAAGTATTCTACCAACTGAGGTAAATGCCCAGTCTTAGATTATGATAATCTTAATTGTGTAGTTTATTAGGAGGAAAATCTGGCTGTTACCATAGAAACTACGAGGTCCGGTTAGTGCCTCCAAGATTTGAGCAGTTATACCTGTTGGGCCACTTAAATCTGAACTTACAGGTTCCTGTTTAGTAAAGAAAGGGGGACATTTTTTACATTTGTTTTAAAGACTAGTTAATATACTAATACAACAACACAAATTAAGACAGATGAAGTGCGCACACATCGCCGAAGTGATGGGTAAAAATTAGGGGCTCCCCCCCAGATGCCGACTTTGATTAGCTTTCCTGTTCAGATAATTTCGTGTGCCTTTAATATTAATTTTTACCTGTACCAAGACTATTAGGCTATTCTAATTTTGCTAAGTTAAATGAGCCGTGATTTATTCCACTGGACTGAGTAAGAGAGCATAAAGCTCAGAGATTTACTGGAAGCAATCTAGGAATGGTCCCTTTTGCTAACATCTGAATAGCCTTTTGTATAGTTTTCCACTCATAGTCACTGTGCCTAGGTTCTTTTCAAACCATATGTACTTCAAGGAAGCATCAGTTATAACACAGGAAAGCCCCCCTCCCCAACTCCTGAGGAAGTCTCAATCAACATATGTAATTTTCAAATGCCGCCTTCTTCTTTTCACAGTTGATGTATTACTGACCACTAAAGAAGCCCTGCCAGATGCCCAGCTGATTTACGTGGTGCACTGCCTCGGTCACTCCAATAAATTTATTATGCTCAGGAGTATCCTGAGGGCCTTGTAATAACCACAGTTTGTGTTTCAAAACACTGACTTCCTCTTAACAGCAGTGGTAGAACTATCTTCTCATCAAGAAATTCTACAGGGACAGCCACACTAAATTCTATGAATACTGATTATATTTTCGGAAATCCTAAATTTGAAAAGGGTAACATTTACAGAGTGGCTAAAGTTATGCTCATAAACATATGGACATATGTATGCGTCAGATATGTAAAATAGTCTTAAGTGACAAAAAGAAAGAAAAAACCTACAAACACAAATCATAAGGCACGTGAACCATAAAACCCTTAGTAAGCCTTAGGAGCTAAATTTTAAAGTATCACTCACCACTGTAAATATTCAGTTAGTGTCAATAATATTCACACTATTGGTTTTTAAGAAACGACTCATATTCGGGGCTTGATATTAACAATCTTATCATTTAGTGCTGCTGGCATCAAATGACAAAGGGCTTAATTGCTAGTCTTTCTCCAAGCTTCAAGAAAAAAAGCACAAAACAAAAACAGCACGTCCTCTTTCCCAGGTATGGAGCAGGCACAGAGAAGCCATGAAACCCTTTATTTCACAACTCCATGTCAAGTTCAAGTAGTAATAAGATGAGAAACTACAGTTGTGACTTCTGAAGTCCACTCCTAGACCCACATGGAGAACTTAACTTTGGATTGATCAGGGCTCTCTTGCAGCCCTGAGTCGTTTTCTACAACTTGTCATTAAGGTTTTCCAGTTTAATGCTAATAATAATCAGAAATACTTTCGTGAACAAATATACGTCGTAGATACATACATATGACAAACATAACGAGAGGACAACAAGCAGCCCTGGGCCCAGAGCCATACACACAAGTACAGCCCGTGGAGTTCAAATCCCAGGAAGGCATCCAGAGCCCTGCACTCAACAGAGGGAGGGGCAGGAGCAAGTAACAGAGGTTAAAGCAGACAGCAGCCAAAACAAACATCACTTCCAGAACAGGACAAACTTTGGGTCTGGACGGTGCAGAACCCCCAGATATGGCTGGGATGTCCGACTCTCCCAAGAGAAAGAAGAGCGCACCCAGCACTGGGCGAGGAGGGGCTGAGCTGCGGAGGAGGCTGGTGTCCCTGGGGATAAGGGCGTCGCCGCCATCCTCGGCTACAGAGCCCCCTTTCTGATGCACTAGCTGCGGCCCTCCAAGTCCCTGGGGACAGTTCCTGTCGCCCCACAAATCCTCAAGAGATAAAGGGACGCAGAGACCTACCTGGTGCAACGTTTCGGAGGGCAACTGAGACGCTCGGAACAGATCGGCCACTGGGCCGGCGGCGGCGGTGGTGGTAGTGCCGGGGGCGACCCTGGCGGCCTCGGGGGGTCCGGACCCGGGGCCCCCGCTCACGGTGCCCGCGCAGCGGGCAAAGAGCTCAGAGTAGCACTGCTGCTCGCCGTCGCTCAGCAGCAAAGGCGGCCCAGCGCCGCAGCCTCCGCCCGCCGACGCCTCCATGGGGCCTTCCGGGGGTCCTGGCCGAGCGCCCTCTCTGACTGAAGTGCCGCCGCCTCCGTCACCGCCACAGCTAACGCCGCAGCCTCGGCCTCCGCCGCCGCCCCCACGCCCCGCAGCTGCAGTGCCGCCGCTTCCTCCCGGCGCGCGCCGGCCCCGCCCCCGGGGCTTGAATGTTGTGCCTCAGCTGCGCGGCACATGGAGACAGGCGCGTCAACGGCCAATCATAGCCCGGGATTCCATTCGGGCCCCGCCTCCAATGCCCGCCCCGGGCCGCCCCTTCGCCAGGTAAGTAACACAACTCTGAGCGCCACCTGCCCACGCCAGGCACCTGTTTGGTGGACGAGGCCTGGCTCTTCAACCCAATTTCATCGTCCCTCCAAGCCCACCCTGCCCCTGAGGAGCATTTTGGGTTATTCACCTTGACTGTCAAGGGAACATCTGGACACACTTGGAGAACAGAGTTTTTCAGGGGTGGGGAAGACCACACTGTTTTCTCATTAAGATTCTGGAGCAGGTGTGGTGCCCACGCAGAAAAAGCTTGAGGCAGAAGTTAGGTTTCCGTTCCTCGATATAACAGTACTCTTCCTATGTCCTGAAAAGCTGAAGAACAGAGATGCTCATGAATAGGGTCCCGACTCCCCAGATCTTTGAGGATGGTGATAGGGTTAAGCCACTTTATTAGGCATGACTCAAATCTTGAGTGGAGCCTTAGTAAGGAATACCAGCAGTTACTCAAGTGTTAGAGTAATAGTAAGAGGGGAAGGAAAAAGCCTTTTTTTGCAGATATGAGGTTAGTCCTATTGAAAACTGGAAAACAGAATTGGTGAACGCACTATTGGCAAATTTATGCTACTTATGGCCTGAAAATACTGATCTCTGTAGCAGAGAACCCTCGCCTTCCATAAGTGCTTTTTTTTTAAGATAACATCTTTCCTTGAGACACCTGGTGTTGAAAATACTTTTTTTTTGGTAAGAAAACAAGCATATTTTTTAAAAAAATTAAAAACTTCAAATTCCCACCAAAAAGTCAGCACTAGAACTCAGGATTTTACAAACCCAATGTATCTTTTTCAAATGGGCTTCCTCCTCCATGGCTATTGCTCTAGCACTATTAAGAGAAAGTCTAAGTTAAGTGTGCTGACTTATGCCTGTACCCCAGCAGGACCAGGACGATCCCTGAAAGTTTGAAGCTAGCCTAGGCTTCCTAGTGAATTCCAAGCTAATCTGCAAGAAGAAAAAAGAGCAATAACATCCAGAAAAGAATCTACTGGAAGAAAAATGTCTGTCAAGAGCACTGCAACTGTCAGCATCGGGGCTGTATATTTGCATCATTTTTCCCCAAAAGAAAAAATCTTTTTAAGTGTCATTCCTGAGACAAGTTGCAGGAACATACCCATGATACATATATGCCTCACTACAAAACGTTAACCCAAAGGGGTGGGGGAACATTCGTCCAGGGTTAAACATTAATAAAGATACACGTTAGTATTTGATCATATATAAAAAGTTATATAGTCATATATAGTTATATATACATACATATGTATATTCCACCTCAAATAGTTTTTTAATTAAAAGTATGAGGGGCTGGAGAGATGGTTCAGTGGTTAAGAGTGCTTACTGCTCTTGCCGAGGTTCAGTTCCCAGAATCCACACAGCAGCTCACAACCATATATAACTCTGGTTTCAAGGGATCCAACACCCTCTTCTGGCCTCTATGGGCTCCTGCACACATATGGTGCATGTAAACTCATGCAGGCACATACATACACATAAAAATAATAAATAAATTTTAATTAAAAGCATAAGACAGTCAGACGTGGCACATGCCTGTAATCCTGGCACTACAGAGGCAGAGGCAGGCCAGCCAGGGCTCTACAAGGCAAGACTCATTTTGAGAACAATAACAAAAAAAAAAAAAAAGCAAAAACCAGAGACAGCTCAAGAAATATCACTGGTGATGCCAAATAGACTTTGATATCACAGTCAACTAAAATAAGGATCAATGGGGGACTGGAAAGATGGCTCCATGGTTAAGAGCACTGTCTGCTTTCTCAGAGGACCCAGGTTCAGTGACCAGCACCCACATGGCAGTTAACAACCATCTGTAACTCCAGTCCCAGGGCATCCAATGCCCTCTTCTGACCTCCGTGGATATTGTATAAGGTGGGTGCACTTACATCCATACAGGCAAAATACTCATACACATAAAAATAAATTTTAAAAATAAAATAATGATCAATGGGAGGAAGAAAGGAGAGGGGGGAAGAAGTCAAGAGATGGTAAAAGCAAAAAAGGAAAGGGGAAGAGAGATACATAAGAAAGAAAGAAATACATCAACCTCAATGATTGCCAGAGTACTACTTCCCTTTTGGACGCTGAAGAAATGAAATACCAAAGAAAACTCACTCTGCTGATATAGTTCAGTAGTACAACATTTGCCTAGCATTCAAGAGGCACAAGGTTTACAGGGGCTGGAGAGATGGCTCAAAGGTTAAGAGCACTGGCTGTTCTTCCATAAGACCCACGTTCTATTCCCAGCACCCACATGACAGCTAACAACCAACCAGTTCCAGGGGATCCGACGCCCTCTTCTGGCCTCTGCAGGCTTTGCACAATATAGGTGAACTTACATACATGCCAGCCAAACACTCATAAAATTAAAATAAATACTTTTTTAAATAAGAGGCACAAGGTTTGATCCCCAGCACCAGAAAAAAAAGAGGATTAAGTTCAAAAGTGTTAGCAACTAAGTGAAGCAGTGAGCTTTTAGGGACAAACTCCTGTATTAGTATACCTTCAAAAAACCCTGTCCCTTTCCAGCTGAAGCTTTATGAAGCATGCCCAGAGGCATTCCTGTTGTCTTTATGATGTAAACTAAGCATGTCCAAAAGTGTTGCCTGCCATTTTAGCCTTTTGAACACTGGCTCCATAACCTTAAACTAAGTACATCCCAAAATACGTTCATTGTCATGTCTTCTCCTTGACCTTAAACTGAGTATGCTCAGGAATGTGCCCAACCCTAGACATCTGGTCTTCACTTATGACTATGTGTAGGGTCCCTGAATAAAATCCCCACACTTTCTTCATTCATAGAGGGCACTGTGTTGGACATAGCTCCCAGGCTCTCCTTACCAGATGCACTTACCAACATATCATCAATCTTATTTCCTGGCTGTGTCTGTCTTGGCTATGTACTCAATAGAAGTGAGCCCAGGTTGGGCTACAAATGCAGAAAGTTCTCTCTTCAAACTTTCCTTACTCCACATTTGGCTTAACAACTGGGAGGAGAAAATACAGTAGCAATACAGAAAGGCAGCATTAAGAACAGCAGGGACTGAGCTAGAGAACTTCTACTTCAGAATCTCACCACATTTGTATTTTCCATGACTATCATACCTTCTCAGAAAAAAAAAAATGGAAGTCAAGAGATATTCTCTTCCTACCTTTCCAGTTGTTCTTAGCTTTCCTAGAGAATACCTACCATTCTCACGGAGGTTAGAAAGGGGTTCACTTTAATAGGCAACAAGCCTACTTCCCCCGTGACTCCTGCAAGAATAAATGTAAGGTATCGTAGCCCCTGACACTCTTATAATGGGAGAAGTTAACAAGCTTTACATAGCATTTTTGTACACGCTAACTCATTTAAGTCTCACAGTAACTCTCTGAGGTAGATTAGGAAGACATATTTTTTAATTTTTATTTATTATTTTTATTTTATGTGTATGAGTGTATTGCCTGCATTATGTAAGTGCACCCATGTCATACAATGCCTGTGGAGGTCAGAAGAGGGTTCGGATCCCCTACAACTGGACTTAAGGACAGTTGTTAGCTGTCGTGTGGGTGCTGGGAATCGAATCTGGATCCTCTGCAAGAGTAGTCAGTGCTTTTAAAAACTGAGCCATCTCTCCAGCCTGAGAAGATACATTTTTTAAGATAGGGTCTCATGTAGTCAAGGTTTGCCTTGAACTCTCGATTCCCCTGCCTCCAACTGCCAGTGGTGAGATTACAGGTGTACACCACCACACCCAGACAAGAAGACATTTTTTTGAGAGGGATGGTCTCACTATGTAGCCCAAGATGCTCTGCCTCCCAAATGCTAGGATTACAAATGTATGTCACTATGCCCAGCAAGAAGACATTCTTATCTTCGTTTTTCAGATTAAAAAATGTATGCAGAGATAGTTTGATTTGCCCAATTGGATACCACATTCAGAGTTGATTTCCTTCATTACTCAAGTCATTTTAATAAACATGACAAATATTTATTAAGCAGCAGATATTACAATGATGGGCAGAAGGTCTCACATCTGTGCCTATCAATCTAACAGTGAAGTAATCAACTCGTATTGACAGGACAGGAAGTACTTACTGTGTGTATACTGGAGTGCTGCAAAGAATTCAAGAACATATAAAATGTGTTTCTTTTAAGGAGTCCACAGCCTCAGTGGAAAAGACAAAACTAGCACAACAAACAAAAACAAAAGACAATATATAATTAAGTGCTAAATTGTGTACCCCAGGCTAAGTGCTGTAGGAATTTGGAATATATATATATACCAAGAACCAGAGCTAACCCAAGATGGCTCAACAAGGGTGTTTGCTGAGTCTGAGTGGAACAGGGAAGTGGCAGCAGGGAAGAAAAGGGTGATCCTGGGAAAGGTAGGCTCTCCAGACACTTGGCACCAAGAAAGTGATGATTGAGTAAGGGGACAACAAGCTGGGCCAAATGTCATAATGAAAGCCATTACTAGGTATGATTAATATATGCTTGTAAAAAACCTTTTTATTTTGTGTATGAGTATATTGCCTGCACGTATGTAAATGTACCCATGCTGTGCAATGCCCACAGTCGGAAGAGAGTATCAAATTCCCCTGGAACTGGAGTTATGGACGGTTGTTAGCTGCCATATGGGTGCTGAGAATCAAACCTGGGTCCTTTGCAGGAGCAGCCATGCTCTTAACCACTGAGCCATCTCTCCAGCCCCCAAAACATTTTTTTGTTTTTTTGACAGAGGGTCTCCCTGTAGCCCCAGCTGTTCTGGAACTCACTAGTAGACCAGGCTGGCCTTGAACTCACAGAGATCCGCCTGCCTCTGCCTGCCTCT